TATATATATATTTATGTTGTTGCATCATTGATTCATGCGAGGGCAATTGCATTTAATTTCTTAAATATAAATTTTGCGATTAAAGCAGATGAATTTATTGATTTCAATATTTTCAGATTATAATGTTTACAAACTAGTATTGTTCAAAATTTAAGACTAATGAATGCACATTTAAGATAATTATATGCTAATTTGTATGATTTTTATTTTTGAAGAGGACACTTTTATTTCCTTAAAGCTAACATTTATAGTTTGTTGGGGATACTTTTTAATTACATTTTGATAGTACATCCTTGGTATAATTCTTTTTGATTTTTGGAATACATATAAGCAATTCTATGGGCAAAATTTAATTCAAGTTCATACACCAGAACATTAGCTTTATTTTTAGGCTGCAGATCTTAAATATGGGAAATTGTTTTTATTGTTAAAAATGAATACAAAATTTTTTTTGCACTTTTCAAATATTAAACAAACATACACTACAATTAAGTATATAAATATTCAAATTCCAAAAAGCAATGTAAAGTTAAAACTATTATTATGTAGACAGTGATTACTTAACATTTAATATTATGAAAAATTTAATTTGTCTACCATAATTTTATCATGAAACAAAAAATAAGTATTGCAAAAGTGGATAGAGATGAAGAAGAAAAAAGGATCAAATGTTAAAAGTATAAGAAGATACACAGAGATGCACAGCAGGTCTTGAATTGAGAACCTTTCATTTGTCTATCACCTGCATATATAGGAGAGGACAGGAGCTTGGTTTTAAAGACTCCAAATGCTGCAGGTGTTGTGTTAATGATTCCAAAACAATAGCAACAATAAACAATGCTAGGAAAAGCTCTCACTTTGAAGTTTGGTATTGCATTTTTTTCATCGGTCTGTTATCATGATAGGCAGAGTGCCAAGCGAGCTTTAGGATTCTTCTTTCATTACTTTTATGGAATGGTCCAGTGATTCCACTTTGGCATTTAGTACAGAGTGTTCACACCTGCCAGACCAAGGCCTTGGTATAAGGTACACTGTTCTCGCACACTGTCTGAAAAGTAAATTTGTTTTATTCCTCTGGCTTATGTCCCTTTGTTCCCAAGCAATCTATGCACAACATTGCATAAAGTATGTTAGCAAAACAATTATAAGAACACATGAAGTTTCATAGCCATAAATTAAAACTTACTGAGTTTTCTAGATTGGTTTTTAATAGGTTCTTCCTAGAAAGTGTCATCTTACTGAATAATGTATCATCGGTGTGTCTTGTTGTGATTATGCATCTAGTAGACCATCATCAGGGAATTGTCATGTTTGTGATAAAGTGCTTGCTGAAACAACAATTGATGAAGCAAATGTTTGGAGGAAACAGAATAAATTAATGCTTATTAATAACCGTATGACAATTCATGATAAATGTAAAACAGAGCTTAAATTTACATTCACTTGCCTTCCAAGGCCTAAATTATTCCTGTGGAAATTTAATTTCTTAATTAAGAGAATGAGCTCATTAACACTACGTTAACCTCATGTTTATATGTACTTATTCATATGCTTTATTTTGATATCAAAAGCTAACACCTAGCCAGCCTTGGAGCCACAGGCATGTAATTGAATCTTCTTGGGTGGCAGAGGCAGGAGAGTTAGGAGTTTGAAGCCAGCCCAGGCAAACTTATCAAAGTGGTGTGGCTCAAGTGGTAAACAGCTTGCCTAGCATTCTCAAAGCACTGACTTCAGCATCCAGTACTCTTGAGAGGGGATTTCTCAGGTGCTAAAATGTCTTCAATTCTTCTCAACTGAGTTTGAAAATATTAATAAATTTATTTCTCATGCCAAATATATGTGAGCAGAAATTGTCTTTTTAAATATAGTGACTTTACTAAATGGTGAGGCACTTTGAAAGAGGCTATATAAGAAATGTCATCACATTATTTAATTACAGGCTAACTGTACATTTTGATGTTACATGCTTTGCATTTGCACTTGGCTAGTTACTTGCCGCAGTCTTTTTCTTAAGTCCACTTAAATGATCATCACAGTGTTTCCTTATTTATTTAACATGCTACTTATGGCACTGAACTCTCCAATCCCGCTCAAAACAAGTCTAACCCATAGAATTGGGTACTTCATTGACTCTAAAGACTAAACACAACTGTTTAAATCACTGTGAACTTAAATAATCCTCCATTGTCAACTAAAGTTAAGAACTTAACTAATACTCAGTTTAGAAATTAGTGGATAAGTACCAAGCAATTTAAACATCAGTAACCTTAAATGTTATAGTCACTGACATGAGAAAATAAAAGTTTGGTTAATATTTAAGAAACATGAATATCTTAAAAATCATCAAAGTTTGAAGTCTTTATAAAATTGATGTATGTTAAATGAAAAATACAACCTCACAGAGCTGTTGCAACAGTGATTCATCTTAAGTGTTATGAAGATTGTGTGTAGATGGAAGTAATATCTGCTGTGTTGCAGGCCTGCATGAATTTCAATGACAGTGGAGCATGTGTTACACAGTGTCCACAAACCTTCGTGTACAATCCAACCACCTTCCAGTTGGAGCACAACTTCAATGCGAAGTACACATATGGAGCATTCTGTGTCAAGAAATGCCCACGTAAGTGACAGAATAAGAATATTTAAACTAATTACAACATATTTTAAAAATGAAAGCATTTCATGTAAGTTCATTTTCATTTGAAATTAAATAATAGCATGAATTACTGTGGGTATGGATACTAAGACTCACATTTCCCAAATAAGGAAATTAAAATCAAAATATTTAAGGGATTGGTCTAAAGATCTTAGCAAATGAGTGTCATATTTGAGATTAGAGTAAGGAGTTGTTGACTCCTAAAGTCTTCTTGTTTTCACAATTCCTCAGGGTGTTTCTCAAAAATTTTAAGTGGATTTAAGTGGCAACAGACTATATAATAAATATGGCTTGCTTCTAGTAAGAATGAATTTATACCTAAATTTTTTCCTGATAATTTATTTACACTAGAATATATACCATTATAATTTTAGCATAAAATCTAAACTTAAAAACAATAGATACAAAGACTATGTTTAGGGGTCTTTAGCAAACTGGTAACTCATACTGGGGATTTGAAATGATGGGTATAATTCTTATCTGGTACTAAGTATAATATATGTGTGATATTTGTTTCAATTTCTTTGCTTTGAGTTTCCAATGAGACGTTCCTTAGTGTTACCTATCGGAAAGGCAAAAAAGAAAAAAAATCACCATATCTGTTCACATACTCATTTAAATGAAGTCTTTGTATTCTATAGAATATGATGCCGTATTTCACAAACTTTTCTTCTAGTAGTACAGATTTATATGTGTGTACAGATTCTCTATTTATACGTATAATATATATAATTATATACATAAATAAAGACTAATGTAAAATGCTTCAGTATTTGTCTATAGTAAAATTGAAATCTCTGATGGGCCTTGCTCATAAGGGTTAGTTTTTTATACTAGAACTGTCTTAGTAAAACATGGACATTTAACTCCAAATACGGGTCCAAAACCCTAATCCAGACTTCTGAAGCCGATGTGTCTGCAAAACCTAAACCTAATTTACATAAAGGTAATCACAATCTTTAGTTGTTCTCCTTGCCATAAAAGGCTGCAGAAATATGAAGGCATTTAATTATATGGTATTGGCTAAGACCTTGCAGAAAGAATGGTTACTTAATATAATACATTCACCAGTCGCAGGTTGGTTTCTCAGAATCAATATCTATGGGAGAAGGGAAGGAAGCAGGATTCTGCTTTGATGCCATATCAACAAAGGATCTGTTTTGTAGTAGATGCTCACTGGTAGATAAACTGAAATACAAAAATCTTTGTATTCCATGCCTACTCCCATGGATTTCTACATATCCCCATACATCCCTGACTAATTTCATACCCAGATTTTCCAGTATTTCTTCTCTCAGAGCAAGTCATTATTCATACATCCATATATACTCTAACTTAAGGCCATTTCTTTCTCCACACAGAGTGATCTGTTACTCTACCCAGAACCATGCCCTTTGGTAGAATTTTTATCTTGTATTTGCCTTTCAAACTCATTCCTAAGTGGGAAAGCTATCATTTTCAGCTTGTGCCTACATAGAAAGCTTATTTTTGGTCTTCCTATGTCGTGTTGTTTCAAGCACCCTCCTTTGGAGGGTAGTCAAAGATAATGAGCTGAGTGAGAAGTGTCAGCACAGTGATGGGTGACATGGATTCTGATGTAACCTGCTTGTGCAGTCCACTTGTTCTTGTTCTCCTCTTCATATCCCATCCCAAAAGTATTTCTGCAATTGTACAATGGGTGCTGTTGCTCTGTCTAGTATTATGAAAGCATGGCTCTAACAAAGCCTTGTTCATGAGGAGCAATTCAGAACGTAAGGTCAATCATGGTTAAGTGCTTCATCTCTACTGTGACCAAGAAGCATGCCAGGAACTGTTTGTTAAAAGGGACACCATCCTGTGCTACAGATGGTGTGGCTTACCTCTAGAAACCTTGAGGTCTCTCTTATGTTTTTCATTTTGGACTTGCCATAACTTTACATGACAAAGAGTCCCACCATAGATACTTGCATTATCATAGGATCTCGCAGGGTTTCCTGCACTATATGCCTTTCCACTGTCTTCCATACCTTTTTACATAGAGCAAGAGAAATATTCCTGGCAGGGCATGATAGTGCCTTCAAAACCAAAGTAACCCAGTAGGTGTCATGTTTTCCCATTATTACGGGAGGTTCTAGATGCAATAATTTGTCCTTTGTTTTGGAAGGAATGTCCTGCCCTATCACAGATCATGGGTCTCCTAAGTATTTCACTAAAGACTAGGTAATAAGATGTTCCTTCTCTAATTGGTATACCTTTCCTAAAGAACTACATTTTCAAATTTTACTTTTTTCCTCATAAAAATTACAGGAGAGAGGAAGTTTCTGGGCACTCCATTGAAACATAGAATGCAGTTTAAACATTTTCTCCTGGGTATGAAACGCACTATCTTGATTTAAGGCAGTTTAACTTAAGTGTGCTTCATGAACTTGAAGTATTTTTAGACTTTAGACTTGTATCATGTCATGAAATGAAGTGGAACAACTGAGAAACACAAAGTAAATGCCATGTAGTTTCCTAAGTGTATAAAAGAAGTCTACTCTAGCTTGGGGGCAATTAAAGATGTGGAACAGAAGTCAAGCAAGTACCAGTTGTTTTTAACACACATTGCTCGTGGATACAAATATGGATGGATAGTGGGAGATATTTAAACCAAGCATTTTTTAGGAGAAGAGACATATATACTATCAATGACATTAACCATTTTCAAATTATAAAATGCCTTGTTTTAACATGATGGCTGAACATTAATATTATTGCTTATTTTACCTTTTTTTTAAAAAAAATCAGATAACTTTGTAGTAGATTCCAGTTCTTGTGTGCGTGCCTGCCCTAGTTCCAAGATGGAAATAGAAGAAAATGGGATTAAAATGTGTAAACCTTGCACTGATATTTGTCCAAAAGGTGAGTGATAGAACAGGTTTTCTTTAATAGACCAATGAAGCTAGACTGTTAGAATAAACCCACTCCACCAGTGTAACTTACCCCCCAACACACACACTTTCCAACTAACAGTGTGTGTTATTGGTTTTGAGTTATGTCAACCTAACTGCTACAGATCAAACTCAGAGTTAACTTTGATAGGAACTCAGAAATAAAGTTGAATAGTTGTATTTCAGTGCTGGGGATTAAACCCAGGGTCATACACCTACTAGAGAAGTGCTCTGAGGCTGTGCTACATTACCCAAACTTGCATTTTATTTTACTTGTAGAAAATATTAGAAATTTTGCACAAAACTCTGTTTCTCATTGTTATTTTAGGAATGATAACATTTATTACTTGTTTATTATTTTGTACAAAGTGATCTGTTAACCATATACAGGAATGTAAAGGATATGCAAACATGGCATTTGCTATCCAGGCCTTAAAAATATTTTAAAGACATGTGAAATGGCAAGGATGTATAGCATAAGTATTAAATAAATATTGCATATAATTCAAACAATAGAATTTCAGTAGAGGAAGAAATTCTTTCCAGCTCTGAGTGCTCAAATTCCTCACCAGAATGAAACTTAAGTTAAGCAGGACAGAAGTATAGTTCAAATCTCCCTAGTGTTATTAGGCTTTTCAAAATATTAAGGAGTGCCTTGAAAAGAAGAACCTTCACACTTACTTTAAAACCAAATCATTTCTCTCTCTTGCTCTCTCCCTCTTTTTCTCTGCCTCTCCTTCTCCTTCCTTCTCTCTTTCATTCTCTCTCCTTTTTCAAAATCATTTTTGCATTTACATGCATGTGTGTACACCTATTTTGTACCATATTCACTCTCCTAACCCCTTTCCCCACTCCCACTGGTGCTAACCATCCCCCTTGGGAAGGACCTTTTCCGCCCTCCTGTTCTCTAATTTTGCAGAAGAGAAAACAAAAAGAATAACATGACATTTTTGCTAGTTTGAGATAAAGATAACTACACAGGTTGTTTCCTTGTGATATTTCTGTGCATACATGTGTTATATCCCCAAATGGTTAATGTCCTCTAATTATTTATGTTTACTGTCTCTCTCTACACACACACACACACACACACACACACACTCACACACACTCCAAACTAGTCTTCAAAAAACATAGGTCACATCTACTTAAGTATAACTACTTCAATGTTCTTTGATTCTGGTGATAACTACTATCATTAAAGCATTAGCATGCTGTTTAATATATATTTTTAACTAGACCACTATTATTCACATTATTGATTGTAGGCCACAAATAAATCAGGAAATTATTTTACTGAGGTGATCATCATTTAAAAGGCATTAAAAACAATGATATTTTAAATGAATTAGTAAGGGAAAGTACTGTTGCTAAATGTTTTATTTTAGTTACATATATATGTTGCATGTGCATACTGGGTCTTGATATAAAATATAATTCTTTTGAAGTGAGTCATGCACACTAGACTGTAAAATAGAGACAATACTTTAGAGCAGACCCCATAGTAAATGCTAAATAAATAATTTTAAGGGATTAGAAATCCAGCTCAATGGTAGAGCACTTGCCTAGGATATATAAGGCCCTGGATTCAATCCCTACTACCAAAGGTAATAAATAATGAAGAAAAACATTTATAATAATTTTTGTTTTGTAATTAAAATACCACAATGATTTATTAGCCAAAAATAAGATTTTTCTGCCCCGTAACTGTGCATCTCATTTCTGCAGCTTGTGATGGCATCGGCACAGGATCATTGATGTCAGCTCAGACTGTGGATTCCAGCAACATTGACAAATTTGTTAACTGCACAAAAATCAATGGGAATTTGATCTTTCTTGTCACTGGTATTCATGGGTCAGTATTCTATTTTTGTACAAAATTATTTTACAAAATATACAAAACTGACGAGATTCCTTAGCCCTGTACATTTGGTTCTTATAGACCTAGAAAAGTTTCATCCTCTACAAATGCTTTTTGCCAACAAAAGCAATGGTGGGTATACCTCCTGAAGCAATAGCAAACCAAAGTCTTGAGTAACATCTGCATTTTGAGTTTGCTGACTACCTAGATATAAAAATATAAACTTGTACTTCAGTTAAATGTATTTGCCTGGCAGGCTCCTACTCTCAGAATGCTCAGTTATTTTTACAGAATTTTAAAGAAATGGTATTAATGTGTAGGGTGGGGAATTTAATTCAAATTTGAAACTGATTAGGGGAAGACAACATAAATTAATATTCATTTTTAAAAACTCCTATGAAGCAAAACAAATAATCTGATGTAAATCAAAGTTGAAATTCTCCTGAGCATCTTTCAAAAATTCTCTTTATTCTTTGCAGTCTTCACTTCTTTCTTCTTAAGTTGGTAAGTTAGTACTAGTATAAGAGATGTAATAAAGGCATTTCATTTCAGTAATAAAAATTGCATTGTTATCTGAGTTCCTTCATTACAGAATCACCTGCTGATTTCAACTGGAAAAACAACCAAGTTTGTATTCTTTGAATTGTAATAAAAATGTCAATATTTTAAAATTATACTTTATCTATTTGCTTCTATTGCTACTAAATCCCTAAATGTTAGTGCTGCTGGCTACAAATAAAGAATGTCACTCACATATTTCAATTCAAAATCTTACTTTGAACACATAACATATTATTTCTAGAAACAAAGTAATTGAATACATTCTGAATAAATATGCCCAAAAATAGGAACAGAAAGAGCTATGCAACCAAGTATTTCTTTCCATTCAAATGAATTGTTTGTGTTATTGCATACAATGTCTCTTTATTTTAAAATGAAACTTTTACTATGGTTTGTGTCAGATACTATAATAGTATAGATGTACTCTCTTACTTTTTGTATTTGGTCCAAGCAATGTTCTTTTACAAATTAAGATTTCTAAGCCAGGCATGGTGGTGCACTTCACAAGTAATTCCAGTTACTCGTGAGGTGGAGATAGTAAGATGGAGATTTGAGGCCAGCCCAGGCAGAGTTAGTGTGTGATTCACTTGTACAACATTTTGCCTCGCGAGTGTAAGGCCCTAAGTTTGATCCCCAGTACCACAAAATGATTAATAAAGATAAATAAATAATAATGGTAATTCTAAGCTTCCTTTAATAACTTGGTAATTCTTAGTCTGCATTCCAACGTGATGAACCCCTTGTTGGAAAGGAATAGCCTAGTCATTTTGTAATGAGACTCATTCAGTTGATGTTTTATGGTCTCTACTGATCCTCTAAGCCCATGTGTGTTGCTATGTTGCCTTCCTGGCCCACTGGGTAGGAAACCTGGGCCTATATTAAGGTACATCTTTTTAATTTAATGAACATATGGCATTTAATAAAGCAATCTATCTTCACTTTAGTTATTTTTTAAAATCAAGTATCACCATGAATAAAAGATCATTTGTTAATAGTGTCCTCTCAGACATAGAAAAATGAGAGACAAGTACTTGACTCACCTTGCCTGCTTCCAAGTGGAAATAGTAAATAAAGTAGCTTTGAGACCATTAGTGTGGAAATGACTTGAAATCATATTCTCGTGAATTGCTTTAGACAAGTGTTTTTGATCCCTCTCAAGCTGAATATCTCTTTTCTGTATATATATACATAAAGGAAATTTTGCCTTGGCCTTGTGTTATTATTAATAGTCTATTGTATCCCCCAATTACTATTACAACTGAAACACTTCTTAAAATGTCCCAAGTTCCCTTAGGGGGGTAACACTACTCCCACTGAGAACCACTGAAAAATTTCCATGATAATACAAGGATTAGAAGAAGCAACCAGATAATGGTTAAAATTCTTATTGCTAGTACATGGGTAGAAAGGTTTAAAAATGACATAATCTAGTAAGGTTTGGAATAGTTATTTTAATTTTAGTTAATCATGGAACATATTCTCTAAGGCTACAAGATAATTTTACTTACATACATACTCTTATTTACTTGTATCCTAGAGTGGATGAAAAATTTTATAAATAAATACAAAATAAATGGAAATGGTTATCTCAAGTGATCAAAATTTAATTTTACAATAGGAATCTTTCATTATACATTCACAAAAGTACTATAAAATTTTAAATTATCTAGCCTTTTAAGGAGATTAATATTGCCAGTTAATACAAGTAAAAAATGACACAGAAAATAAACTTGCGTGGATTAGAAGTAGAAAGTCAAACAAAGCTTATCTTGAAAATGAACTCAGAAAGTACAAAGTAGACATTTCATACAGGAAACGTAATGTAGATGAGTTTGGAGTTTGATTGGCAGCTCCCTGATTGACAGTTTGCACTGAGTTGGGCAGCATCCCTCTCTTGTCCAACACTCAGTTTCCTCCAAGGAAAAACCGAGAAAGGGATATATAGCAAGTACATGGCTGCTCTGATTGCTGTGGTGATTAAAAACAAAAATGATTTTGAATTGCTTACTCCAGTACCTGGTGTATCATCAAATCTTAATAAATGACAGAAAAGAGAAAGGGAGTAGGGTGGAGGGAGAGAGGAAGAGGAAAGGATAAGGAGAAAGAGAGAGAATGAACACCAGTGAAGGCAAAGCAGGTGGGTTAAGCAGTAAAAGAAAAACCTCAGCGACTGCGTCTAGTTTATAGAACAGAAAATTGTGCAACAAATATTATTTTATAGACTTAGCTACGTAGTCTTTTATAGACTATCTTGCAAACCAAATAAAAGTAAAGTTTCCCTTAGGCTAAATCATACTTCTTAGTTCACGTGATAATTTTTCCTTAATCATAGTACATAAACCTGCAATATTTGAAGTTACAATTGCTATTATATTCTCTCAAACTTTGTATATATTATGTATGATGTACATTATATACATAAAGGTTCTAGGGTAAATAATGTATGTGAAATACGATATAGCTCTCATTTTGAGTCTCATGCCAGCATGAGACATATTCTGAAGATTTTCTCTTTTATTTCAGAAAACAAAACTACAAGGTCAGTTCAATAGACTTAAGACACTTTATATATATAAATAGAGGCATATTAAAGTACATAACTGTGTGTGTGTGTGTCAGAGAAAGAGGTATAAGTAGTTTTTAAAAGAGACTAATATAGAATACTATAAACAGAAAACTTGTAATAAGTAAAAAATGTTTGTCTCACTAAATTACCCACAATGTATTACTAAAAATTTTTCATAAGATAGTATAGTTTATTAAAATAGCTTAGATATTTCTTTAAACTTATAAAAAGGAAGAAAAGTCATAATTAAATGAGATTTTCAGAAAACAAGGGTCTGCAGACAATAAAATTCCTTCCAATTTATCAAATTAAAATTTTAGTATATGTAAAGTCTAATGAAGTTAATTGGCATGTTACATTTATGGCACAACAGTGCTGTTGCCAGAAATAAAGACAGGTTCTCATATCCTTATTTAAAATGGGAACTGTAAACAAAGCTTAGTGTTTCAGGTTGAGGGTGGGAATATTCTTCTTTCATGTTTTGCTATGTTAGTCTGCTCACATGCCTTGCTTAGAGTAACAAAATGTTCACCAATTAAGCGTGTTGACACTATTTCACAGGGAGGTACTGGCAAGAAAAAGTTCATATGTATGATGGATTGAAATGATAATAGTGGAAGAGAGAGAGTATTTTTGGTGATAAAATGAATTGATTTCGGGTGAATTGTAAAAATATGTTTCTCTTTATCTTGGGCTTTATTTTGGATCACCAAACACAGTGACAGGGCAGATATAATATGCTTTTGCATGGCTCCATATTTGGGTAGGAAAGTTCTCAATTTTATAGTACTGTGGATTTCAGGTGACTATAAGATACAACTCTCAAATGGTTCTTTGTAGTTGGTAAGTGGAATTCTGTCAACTTATTTTATGAGAGTCTTGAATCTTTAAAATTAAGTATATAAAATTTCTGTGGTTCACTGGGCTTCATACTAACAGTCCAGAATTCTTTTCATTCCTGGCAACCTGGAACTGTTTTCAGTAAAGGTTTGGACTGACCCCATTATCATGTGCTTTCCCTAAATTTTGAGTCTTCCTAAATAAAGCCAGGATATTTGGTTATATGACCAGAGTTATCGTACACACTGCTTTTTTTCAAAGAACAAGTGTTAGCAGATTCTTTCCCCTGCTGCACAGCTGCTATGTCCTCTGCAGAAAAAGTCTTTGTGCATTAAAAATGAGGGCAACAAGAGTTTCTCCACAGTTTCATATTCATTAAAAGCATAATTATTCAGTACATAAATATTTACTTATAAATATAGCAAGTTTGTTAGGACATTTAATTTAGACTTTATACTTTTAAAAGATATTCATGTCACATTGAAAAGACTCTGATCAATAGTTTATCTGTGGATTATAGGTAAATGCATTTATAGGCTTTCTCCAGTCTCAGCAATATCAAATGTTTGAGCTTTCTACAGCACTCCACATTAAACTAGAAGTACATTGCATTGATTGCACTTCTCAGTTTGAAAAAGCAATTTAATTAAGAAGAGATGCTCTTTTTTCAAAGGTAGGAGATGGTTCACAGTACAGAATATGCTGATGAACCAAGTTCAGAAAGCCAGTAGCAGGTGGGTCTAGAGCCCAACCTGAAATTAATAGCTGATGAAAGAAATAGTCTCAATGGTTTTATATCAGAATGAGTAAATGTCAATGGATTTAGACTCAGATTCCCAGAAGATAAGCCATATGCATGTCTGTCCATCAGGGGACTGTGAAGCACTTTGAGACCACTACTGAGACTGTGGATACTGTATTCTTCTGGTTATTTCCCATACCAAAAAAAGAAGGTCTCATAGATTTGTAAAAGTGTAAAAGTCTATAGAAAGAATAAAGGTCGTGTGATTGTTACTTGTAGGCATATATGTCTACAAAATGAGAAGTTTAATGTCTTTTGGAGAAGTGGCCAATGTACATAATATAATCCTTTTTGTAAAGGTTTTTATTAACATGAAGTCTCTACTCACCCAGGAAAATCTTTTAATGCAATAAAGCTTTTCAAAAAGTACTATGTATTCCTTAAATTACTGAAAGTGTTGCTTTAATTACTGAGAAAATTTTGGTATTATGTTTATGTTTGTGTCAATATTTAGGTATGCAATTATTTTGCATGGTCAATATTTATCTGAAAAAATATTTTTGAAGAAGAAAAGTGAAAATAGTCCATTAAATATTTAATTTAAATGGTAACATGTTTATCTTTGAAAACATTAGACATCTGTATATCAATAATATTTATTAAAATGTTTACTACTTAAGAGAAGGCATTTGAAAAATCTCAAAAATTTAAACCTTTGAGTATTATATAATTTATTTTAATTTTCAAATGCTAATATAATTTATTTGAATGCATGCAAATATTTCCTATTATAAGTGAATATAAACAAACCAAACAGGAACAAAATATTTCTAAATAATCTACATAAAGAATAACTTTCTTATTTTATTATTTTATGAAAATTCACAGTAAATACAGAATTAAAGCTAAAACTGATCTCTCTTGTTCTTGTTTCTATCCTTTTTATGTTACAAGTGACATTAGCAAGTTAGACTGCTTTGAGGAACCCAAAGTTGTCCTCAAAATAATATATTTCCACATTGTATTTTTCAAAATTAAGAATAAACATTTTAAAATAAATACAGTGTAATGCTGCATACATGGCACTTGATAACTTTGGGGCTTTATTCAGGATAGTTGAAATTGAATCATTCCTGTAGGTATAAAATAGCATTTGATAAGACCGCATGTTCTGTTTCATTAAAAATCTCTTAAAAATATCTATTAACCCATCACATCTAGCATAGGACAATGTAGATAACACACTGCCAACCTTCCTATGACAATTTAAAATTCAATTTGAATGAAGTTAACTACGCTTACATTTTTTGAATTTTCACTCCTTTGTCACAGTTTAAATTTGGCTGTATCTCCTCTTGATTTTCCAGGGACCCTTACAATGCAATTGAAGCTATTGACCCAGAGAAACTGAATGTCTTTCGCACAGTCAGAGAAATAACAGGTACTTTTAAAAGTGCATTTGTTGTGCTATTAGCTATGTGAATTTGTGGTTTTCTTGACAGCATTATGTGATATTAGCATTGGTGATTCATTTTCAAAGGAAATTCTAGTTTATAAAACATCATTTTGAATCTGGAAATCCCATGGAATTACAAAATCTAAATTTTTTTAAAGTATTGGTATTACTGTTTTTGTGAGTGTTAAGTAACCTATGATCTTTGAACTCATGTTTTTCTATGTACTTTCTCATAAGAAGAACTCTTGAACATGAGTAACAGGTAGCATTTATTGAGCACATGTTTACTGAGAACCTAATACCTAGGCTTTTATAATAAGATTTATGGAGACCCTAGATATGAATCAGTCATGTCTTCACCATCAAAGGATGTAAAATCCATTGAGGAAGGTACTTACATGGATTAGAATGCAAGGTGGATATTGATGGCATAAGTGTAAAGTAGCAAAGGATTTCAATACATGAGGACTGTACTTTTCCCTTCAATTAGACTACATTTCTCTGTGTCTGTTGGAATAAATAAAATTGCATCATTTAACTGTTTTGACACATACAACTTATGACTCATATCTTAGTAACATGAATTCTTGGTGCTCATAATTTTCTTTATTTTATTATTGTGTTGAGTGGGGGTACACTGTGGCATTTGCAAAAGTTTTTACAATGTATCAAATATATTGTACTTGAATTCAGCCCTAATCATAATTTTCATGTCATTTATTTATTATTTAGCTCAGACATTTGGATATGACACTCAATCTTGGAAGAATAGATATGCTTTAAAATAAAAATGTTCACTTCTCTTATCTTTAAGTATATATGTTCTTCGTATTTGAGGAGTAATGAACACTATTACTAAAATAATGATATTTGGAATTATTTTTACTGTCCTTGTCACTTGTAGGTTTCTTAAACATACAATCATGGCCTCCAAACATGACTGACTTTAGTGTTTTTTCCAACCTGGTGACCATTGGTGGACGAGTACTCTACAGGTAGGTTTTTATGTGCAGTGCTACAAGTCGCCCAAATTTAAAGAGTAGCAGCCTATGTGAATTATGTCAGATTTCATCAATCTTACTGATTTACTGATCCTGGAAATGTGTTTCCAACTGTAATTCCTAAGATAAGCTCAATGAAAGTATGCTTAAAGATGACACAAAGTATGCAGAATACGTAATTAGATTTTTAACTACCTATCGTTTTTCTAATTATGGAACACAGGATGTGAACCATTAAATTGAACCTTCTTTTTGCTCTCATATTATCATAACTAAAAGGTAGATTTGAATGAGTTAATGCCTCCGGCGTTGTATAAGGAGACTCTTTTTGTCTGGGATGCAATCATTTGAGCCTCATAGCATAGAAGAGAGAGTTCTGTTTCCAGAATTGGTTCATCATACTATAAGCAATACCAATTAATAAATGGATAGAAAAATTAGAGCTTAGAATGACATTATCATCAAATTTTAATTTCAATACTTTAAATGCACATGCTAAAAATACATAAGTCCTTTCCTAAGCCATTTTTTTAAAAGTTTATCTCAAATTTTGTCTGGATGAACTTCTTATTCATGAATGTGCATAAGTTGAATAGGAGATATGTATTTAATTTGTCTCATTAAAATGAAAATCAATGCTGTCATTGAATATTTTCTAATAATGTTTTATAGAAAGTACATTGAATTTTACTCTTAAGATCTAAAAGTATATTCATTCATTAGATAATAGAAATGAAAAATTATTATGAAAATGTGGATTATGTTAAAATAAAAGCAATTTCTCTGAAATGATAATTGGTATATACAAGGTAGTAGTTTTTAAAAGAAGTACGAGTGGCTACTAAGTACATTTTAAAATGTTCAACATCTTTAGCCACGATGAAAATGGAATTCAAAACTGTATTGAGCACCATGTCACCTCAGACAGAATGGCCATCATCAAGAAAGCAAAAACAACAAATGCTGGCGAGGACGCAAGGAAAAACAAGTCCTTGAACACTGTTGGTAGGAATGCAAATTAGTGTAGCTACTATGGAAATTGATATGGAAGCTCCTCAAGAAAACTAAAAATAGAAACACCATATATAATTCCTGAGTATATATCTGAAGGAATCAAACTCAGCATGCAAAGATATACCTGCATATCCATGTTTATTCACAATAGTTTTATTATAGAATCATAGATTCAGCCTAGGTGCTCATTTTATCCAGAATGACAGGATGTATGTATGCATATGCATATATTTATGTATACACTCACACACACAATGGAGTATTATTGAGCCATAAAGAAAAAAGAAAGGTAAGGTCATTTGCAAAATAATAGATGGATGGAACTTCAGATCATTATTTTAAGTGAAATAAGCCAGACATCGAAAGACAAATGCATTGTTTTCTTCATATGGTAAATCCAGATATAAAAAGAAATAACATTTAATAGCATGGGGACTAGTTGGGAAGAAGGAGGGTACTAGTGGGAGGCCAAGGGGACTAATGAGGGTAATGTGGGGTGAATATGATCAAAGTACATTAAATGCTTGCATAAAAATGTCACAAATGAATCCATTATTTTGTACAATTAAATATGCTAATAAAAATAAATACACTACAAAAAACTAAAGGGACAAGGAGCTTAATATAAAGGATAGTTAAGAGAGCCAATGTATTTAAGTGGTATATGCAACCAGTTTTGATTATCCATTAAATAAAATTTTACAAATCAGTCAACCCATTGTGGTGACATTGTAATCAACGATGTAAGGTGGTTATGATGGAAGTAAAAAGTGAAAAAATGAACCACATCTTCATCTCGATCATTCAGCCCACATGGTTTTAATTATTAAAAAGCAATTTTAAATATTTAAAATTATTTGTGAAGAGGAGAACTTTGATCTCCAAAATGAAAAATAATGTTCATTAGTTGATACAGACATGGGAGGTATATTCATTCATTAGAGAATAGAAAAGGAAAATAATTACAAAAATGTGGTTTATGTTGAAATAAGAGCACTTTCTTTGAAATGATAATTGGTTTATACAAAGTAGTTGTTTTTAACTTTTAGAAAAGTTTTCCCCAGCTCTCTGAGCCTTCTGAGAATTTTATAAATTTTTAGTTTAATTTAATTTTTCTCTTTAATTTTTAATAGCTCCTAACCTTACTTATGCATTCTTCGACTATTACAAATTTTTTGGTTTCTGAGGTATAAATTAAAGCTAAACATCTTTTTTCTGCCATATTTGCCCTATGGAATCATGTCTGAATTTACTACATTATTATCACATAATTAATGTCTTTAGGTAGATAATAACTCTATTAGGATTTATTTAGTCTCAAAACAGGATTTCATTGTCAAGAAACATCAAATTTGGGCTGGAGGAGGAAAGGGCAGGATAATAAAGGTCAGTAGTAAATACATAAACAGAGACCAAGATAGTGTCAATATTCACAATTCTAAAGAATTTTCCTGTTGGGAATGACATTATTACTGTTGGGAATGACAGTATATGGCATGCAGAGACAAGAGTGATTACTCTGAGTTCTATTGATTCAGTTTCTGTTTTTGCTCCATTAACAATTTGGGGATAAGATGTGACATCCTTCTTTTTCTTTGGAAGCATTTCCATGATGGAGAGTACTGACCACCCCATTCTCTCTGCCCTCTTTAGTGGCCTCTCCTTGCTCATCCTCAAACAGCAAAGCATCACCTCTCTGCAGTTCCAGTCCCTGAAGGAAATCAGTGCAGGAAACATCTACATCACTGACAACAGCAACCTGTGCTACTATCATACCATCAACTGGACAACACTCTTCAGCACCATCAACCAAAGAATAGTGATCCGGGATAACAGAAAAGCTGAAAACTGTAGTAAGTATATCACCCATAAACATAAAGCGTGCAAACTTTGCAAACTTTCCATTCTGCATTGACCAAAAGATAGACAATAACAGCTCAGAATTGTCCTCTTATCCTAAGCCTAAAAAAGAGGGGAAGTTGTAATTACCAAAATGACATATAAAATAATCAGAGAGAGTGATGTTTTGAAACATATTGCGTGTTTACAAGTCTTGCCTAATCTTAGGAATCCTCCTTTGGAGACCTCAATTCAGTAGGTCTAAGTAGGTAGAACCCAGCCATTTAAATGTTTAATAAACATTCCAGGAAATTCTCTGGATCCAGTTGCTTTGTAGAAATTCATTTTAATGAATTCTCTTTTTGCTATTTGGTTTCAATGAATTAAGAACACACAATAACAGAGTTCTGCTATTTGGGGGTTGTGGGAAAATATGGGGGACATATGCATCTTAATATGTAGAAAACACACTGTTCTAGAATTTTACTGTTTGAGAAAAAAGTTCATTTTGTAAATGTATTGACATGTGTATATCATTTTCTGTTTTTCAATCTGATTTGATATTTACTGATCCACTTCATCACTTTTTTTGTCACAACAAAAAAAGGAACAATGGTTTCTTGTCACAGCAAAAGGAACAATGGTTTTATAGGCCTAGGACTAAGTCGTTCATAATACATTGATACTTTAGTGACTAACGCTATTTTTATACTGAGAACTACTAATTTCTATAGACTGAGTTCCACTACTATTCATATAACTGACTTATTTATGGTAAATACCAACCATAATGACTCAGAATTCAAATGACTTACTTGCAGATGCATATTTTGTTGTGGGTTTAATGAGTCATTTCTTTATAAAAGTTTAAGGCTTGTACCTTATTTCTTTGATCTCATCATCAGAACAACCAACAGTGTATATACATATATATATTATGACTTTTCATAAATGTGTAAATGAACAATAGTGGCTTTTAAAACATGATAAACTCTTAAGAGGCCAAGATGACTTAAGTTTATTGAATTAAGTAGTCAGTGAGTTCGTTTGTTTATTAACAGTACTCTGTTTCAGAACAAGGCATCTCATGTTAGCAGTTTTCATAAGATGTAACATAATTTGGTTACTTTTGATCTTCAAAAATATTTTCCAAGGAAAGTAGATGTTTGGCAATGTGAAGTTCCTGCTTTAACTGAACACATTCTTCTCTCTTAGAATCTAGGAATGGATGATCTAATTATGCATCAAATATGCACTTTGATATTAAGTGAAATCCATCCTTTCATTTAGCCTACATTATTTCCTTAGTTTTATGCACTGTTGCCTCCTTATGGCAAGTATGCTTTGCCTTTTCTCTAATATTAAAGTGTCTTACCTCGCACCTCTCTGTGTGCATACATGCCCCAAAGTAGATAATTCATAACACCAAAATTGAATCTTCAGCACTGATTTATAAACATTGCCCTCAATCAAGATCAAACTCTCTTCTACTGCTACCTATCATAGATATGAAGATAATTAGGAAGGCAAAAACATCTAAAGGTAAACAAAAAACTAAGAAACTAACATTCTTGTCACAATTAGCAAATTCTATAAATATTCATATTTGCATCCTTTTTATCTTTTTGATTATTTGAACAAAAAACCAAGTGGGAATAAGAAAATACAAAAAGAAAGAAAATATAGAAAAATAAAATGAATGGCTATCAGGAGGATTGTGGTTTGAGGCCAGCCCAGGCAAAACATTAGTGAGATCCCCCCTCAACAAAGAGGTTAAGCAGGGTGGTGTATGTTCATAATGCCAGCTGTGCAGGAGGCAAATCAGGATTATGCAGGCCTCTGCAAAAATGCAAGACCCTATCTGAGGAATAATTAAAGAGCAAAAAAGACCTGTGAGCATGGCTCGAGTGGTAGAGGGCCTACCTACCCCTAAATTCAATCCCAGTACCACCAAAAACAGGAAAGGAGAGGAGAGAGGGAGAGAGAGAGAGAAAAGAAAGAAAAGAAGGAAGGAAGAAAAGAAAGAGACAGAGAGAGAAAGAAAGCAAGAAAAAAAGAAAGAAAGAAAGAAAAGAAAAAGAAATTTAAAAAGAAAAGAAAATAGGGAAAGGGAGTTTTCAGTACAACATATGATACCATCCCATATCTCTTCAAGACCTATAAACTTTTCAAACAACCCAAAGGGAGAAATAGCATAATAACAAAAAACTAAGATGATTTTAAACTCTTGGCGGTGTGGCTATTGTACTGAGTTTAGCTATTTTTCAGACCATGAGCATATTTTTTTCTATGTACACTTAGATTTTGATTTTGCAGTTTGGGAAAGAAATGAAGCAGTTAGGAGCAATGTAGCTTTGTGGTGCTGTAGTATAAAATCACACAAATCATTTTTCGTTTTTAACATCTTACAATAAATGTATTTTGCATGAAATCCACTTATCAACATTTAGAGTTCAGTCTCACAGCATAGTGGTTCCATGAAAATCCCACATGCCTATGTTTTCAGAAATGTAATTAACCAGTAAACATGATCCTACAGGGGATGCTAATGATGGCCACAATGACCCTACAAGGCTTTCACACCTGTGATTAAGATCCTAGCATCCATAGCACTCTGCAAATGAGAAGGCCTAGATATTTCCTTCCTTTTAAGCCAAGTATAAATATTTCATGTATAGATATTCTCTTTGTATCCACACACACAGATATACACAAATATGAACATTGTTATAGCACGTATATGTACTCACACATACAGCACATGTGTATATATGCAGCACATGCCACCTACACACACTTACACACCTACAAAGCACGTATATGCACAGAGATCAAATATGTCTTCCACCTCACAGTCACCATTAAATACACCGATACAAATCTGGGAATTGGATTTGTTAACTTTGAAGAAAAGGCAACCCTTCATTAAAAACAGTGGATTTAGAACTCAACATGATTTAAAAGAGTAATGACAATAAAAGAAAGGCTGCACCTCATCTACAAAGGGTGACAGTGGTTTGAGCAAGCTTAGTCTTTTAAGTCAAAAATTTCAAAGCAGACTTTATGGCTTGAAGAAATTGAGAGAGACTCCATAACATAAAAGGCTAGAATATTTTCTACCTCCTTCGCTTATGTGGTTCTCTACTAGCAAAACGACAGTGCTAGGTGGAAGAAATTTTAGGTTAAGTTTGTAAAAGTAGTTTAAAGTTTCTTAAAATACTTAAGCATAACTTTTTAAGCTGAACCATAAAAAACAGAGATAAATAACACATTAACTCTTTAAGTGTTACATTTGAACTCATTTCTTAAAAATATTTTCACATATACGGTTAAAGCCAATATTAATTCATTATTGATTTTTCAAAGTGGAAATATTTTATTTTTCCAATTATAATAGCACCTTTCTGCTTGACAAATATCGAAACAATAAAATGTCTAAAGAAGATATATTTTGGTGCGTATATATTCAACATATATATAGTTTTAAGTAATGAACCATAATATTTCATATGTCAATGAATTCATACCATATGCACCTGCTGTTTATCTATCTATGTCTTTTATATAATATACTATGAGTATTTCCCACACCAGTGTGTAAAGCTCCTCCTTATTCTTTTACAAAGCTGTATGTAAAAGTATTTATTGGATAAGGGTCATAGTAACAAATTACTTTCATGTCATTACTGCTGTCATAATGAATATCCTAACATGTTCATAAAATAATTTATACTGTGTAATTACTTACTGGGTCTAAAGCCTTAGAAGCAGAATTTGTATGTAAATGAGGCAACATGAATGTTTTCTTACATATTGCAACATCATCTTTCAAAACACTGGGTGGGTTTATACTTGTCCCAACATTGTATAATAAGAATATTTTCCCACCACTTTTTATAGCACTGGTAGCCCTGGTTTAAATTATAGTGATGTGAAAGAAGAAAAAGAGGTCTTTTGAATTGACGTGTTTTGAACCTCTTACTATTGTTGATTGATCTCTTAGATTTTTCTTCTATAACTTACTTTATCTGTTGTGTCCATCAAGTTTATCTTTTTTGAGCTTGGTAGTTGTTTCTTTTCCTTCTACATTTCAAGGAGCTTTCCAAAAGTTAAGTACCTTAACTTATTGTACTTATCTGTATCATGAACAACTTCCAGTCTTATGGGTAATTTTTAAATTTGCCTGTGATGCCGTAATATTTTATGATTTTATCCAGTTAAGAAGATATATTGCTTTCTTTTAATCTTTTTGGTCATAGAATATTCTTAGCACTTTTCTTCTAGTGTATCAAAAACTACTGAGCTGGTGGAGTGGCTCAAGTGGTAGAGCACCTGTCCAGCAAGCATGAGGCCTTGAGTTCAAACCCCAGTACCACCAACAAAAAACTATTTTGAAAAATTTAGTCTATGTGAAATTTTTGGTATAGCATATTTATTATTGAGGCCTGGGGGCATGCCTTATAAAGTGTTAGTTCCCTTGCCAAAACAAATGTGAAGTCTTGAGTTCAAATCCTAGTACAAGCAAAAAATCTTCAATAGATTACAATATCGATACAGCATAATTTATTGCACAGTCCACCTCTTCTCAGTGATTTAAGTTGACTGCAATATTTCCTCTACGTAACCAGCTTTTTAAAAAAGATGTCAGATGTGACATCTCATTTTATTTATATTTTTAACTTAATTGCTACAACCATCCTGTTAATTATAATTATCCCTATCTTGAAGATGATATACAGATTTTAAGAAAGTTATAAAATATTCCCAAGATTTGGAGCTACTAAAATTCATAGCCAGTATTTAAGCCTAATATCTTTCTGATTTCAAAGACTACATTCATCATTTCACCATGAGTCCTCTCAAAATAAAGAGAAAGTGAAAGATTTTTACAGGATAATCTGATGACATCCTGTAGTTTTGCCTATATGATAAAATACTCAAGAGCACACCTGTGAGCGTATGACTATGTGACAACAAGGTAAAATGGCGTCATCATGTGGCAGGAGCATTTTAG